AAAAAAAGTTTTTTTCAATCAAAAACAAACCGTGTAAATGCTTTGAAAATGATGATAGCAGCATATGTGCTTGACACACTGGATGGATGGATGGAGGGAGGGAGGGAGGGAGGGAGGGATGGATGGATGGGTGGATTGTGATAAGAGATGTAAGCGCCCCAGTAAAAGTATTTACCAAAAAAGAAAGAAAAACAAACACTGTATATGATAATGAACTTACTAATACAGAGGGTAGATAAATAACACAAGTTATATATATTCCCTCCTACCTCATGAGTATAGTTTTGAATGTAACTGTATTTAATGTGATTTTAGAATATTCGTGAAGATCAAGTTAAGGCTTCTTGGATTTAGAAATCCCTGAAAGGACACCTAACACTAAGTTGTTTTAGTTTGTTTTCCTGTGAGAAGTTGATCTTTGTAGACAAGACCAGCTGGTTGGAGCAGTGTCTTCCTTTGGTCAGGAAGCTGACTCACCGGAATCTGTCTGTGCTCTTCCAGTCTCCTTGGCCATACTGATTTATTGCTGGTGGTCTGAGACAACCACAGAGTTGGGGTCCCAAATCTCAAGCTGTTGAGTCTCTTCTGACTCATGGGAACTTTCAGGACTGAGTAGAACTGTCCTCTTCCTGGAAACGAACGGTGCCGTCTTTCTCCTGCAGAGTGTCTGGGAGATTCGAACTGCCAGTCTTGTGTTTAGCAGCCAAGTACCTGCCCACTTCACCCGTGGGGCACCTTTCGAGAAGCCTAAGTGTCCCCCCAAAGTTACAGACTTCTTCAGTAGTAGCTTTGCTCTACAAGGCAAAATGCAAACACGAGGTGGTTTTAGTCCCTGCCCTGAGTTGATTTTGCTTTTTAAACTTCTTTTTTTTTTTTGAGATTTAATTCACATATTACATGACAACATCCTTGACAAGTTGACAAAATCCTTGTGAAGTTGTCAAGGATTTTTGTCTTGTGTGGATCCATAGTCAGTGTTCATGGAAGCAGCAGTCAAGAGATCAAAAGACCTATTGTATGAGGTCAGTCTGCTACACCAGACCTCTGGGGTAATGAAGAGCAAGGATGTTACTTTGAGGACTAAGGGGCCCCTGGCCCAAGCCATGGTATTCTCCAGTGCATTAGATGCCTGTGAAGTTGGGCGCTGAATGAGGAAGACCATAAAGGAATCTGCTCACTTGAACTGTGGTGCTGGAGAAGAAGATTGAAAGTACCCGGGCTGCGAAAAGGACAGACAGAGCCGTTTTGGAAGAAGTAAGACCAGAGCGCACCTTACAGGCAAGGCTGGCATGACCTCGTCTTACATTCTTTGGCCATATTGTCAGGAGCGGCCGGCCCCTGGAAAAGGACAGCATGTGTGATACAGTGGAAAGGCAGGAAAAGAGGAAGGCCCTCAACGAGATGGACTGACGCAGTGATTGCGTCAGGCATCTCAACAGGGGTTCTCAGCCTTCCTCTGCTGCGACCCTTTCACACAGCTCCTCATGTGCTGGTGACCCCCCCACCCATAAAATTATTTTCGTTGCTACTTCAGCACTGTCATTTTGCGACTGTTATGAATCAGGCGACCCTTGTGAAAGGATTGTTAGACACACATATCCCCTCCCCATAAGGGTCTAGACCCCCAGGTTGAGAACCACTGCCTTAGAGCAGTGGTGAGGATGGCACAGGACGGGGCAGTGTTTGAGGGTGGCTGTGGGTTGGAGCTGACTCGAAGGCACTAACAGCAATCACATAGAATTCACCCAGTTAAACCATGTGAGTTAGTAGACGGTGCTTAGCATGCAGAGTTTAGACCTGTGCTTCTTTTTGAGGTAAGTTTTACATGAAGAGTCTGACTACATTTTTGTTTTACATATGAATTTCCAGTTGTCTATGCGTCATTTGTTGAAAAGACTCCTGTTTTTTTCCATTTAATGTCTTGGCATCCATGTGGTAAATCAGTGAATTATTGAC